GACCAGCTGTGAAATTCTGGTCACCAGTGCAAAATTTTTAGTCGCACTGGCGACCAGGAAAGTGCAATTTTGGACCCTGTTGACGGGTCCAGGGAACTGACACAAACCTTTACAAAAGCCGGATCAACCTTCCTACATTTTGCAATGTCTTTTCGTGCCTCTAAAATTCTCGTCATTCTGTAGTTTGTCTCTGCCCTCAAAGCATACAGGGTGGACAGCAGAGTAGTATTCTTCATAGGACAGAACAACAGAGAATAAGTCAGACACTGAGTGGCTACAGCAAAGTTCTCTTCATCCTTGGCTTCATATCCTCTCCTCAACCATTTTTCTGGTTCATCCTGTTTAGAATAAAAGAGATAACATAATAAGATACGATTGATCAATGCAGTTATACACAGTCATGAAATTAAAGCCTGGAAAAAATTCAGGCCTGAACGGGATGCGAACCCATGTCCTTGGTACTACCGGTGCAGTGCTCTACGAACTGAGCTATCAAGCCAACTGGGAGCTGCTCACATTGCGAGTTCGTAAGATACCCGTAGATGGTGAAGAATACAAGTGAATATATGAAAGACCATATATTAGAACTGGGGAGAAAGATATGAAGATATGATTGATCAATGCAGTTACACACACAACTTGAGCAGTTGTGAAATTAAAGACTGGAAAAAATTCAGGCCTGAACGGGATTCAAACCCATGACATCTACGATAGCGGTGCAGTGCTCTATCAACTGAGCTACCAAGCGCAGTTGACAGATACAGTACATAAATAATAGATGCATAAAAGATACATAAATAATAATTATAATAGATATGTAAAGGATACATAAATAATAATTAGTGACTCATCAGCAGTCTGATTGTGTACAGTACGAGGGGTGGTGAATGGCACATGTAAACATGTGACTTTCCAAGAAGGCAAAACTAGTGTTTTTCTTTGCAAGCCTGAGACATTTCAACTTTTTCAGCTGCGAGACCAAGACTCCAAAGTATTTTAAATGTTACCTCAAGATGTTCAGATTCTAAGACATTCAGACTTAAAAAACATAGAAATCCATAGTTCAAGACTTTCTTAGCCTTCACAAAAATCAAGACTGCCAGGCACATAACCGCCTACACAATAAGACTATCAGTGTGAGACCCATGAAATTTGACCAAAATTTTGTGAGACCCATGGTTTTTGAAAGACCATTCGCCACCCCTAGTAAGAGATAGGTGTCTGGTGGAGAAACCGAGACGCTCCTTGACCCGTGAAAATGATAAATAGAAACAAGATCTGATGATTTGGTGAGCTGTTTGTATCTATTGACCTGTTGTAGTTCCTTACTGACCCCTTGCTTCTATAAACGTACATGTATGTATCTCGGGTCCTGGCTTTAGCATGATTGGACTGGTTAGTGGTAGCCAATCAAAGCACAGGATTTGGTTCACCTTTTCCCATGTCCAAGCTAGCCATGATAAAGGATTTAACACCCTTATTACTGCACATACAATAACAAAAGGTTATACACAAAATAAATGAGCACTGCCTACAAGTAGGTAAATAGGCAAACACCAATTTCCAACTGGCCCAGTTACCTTGACACCCGGGAACAACTCTAGAGCTCTTTTCATGTCCATGCATGCTTCCTCTTTACGGTGCAAGTCCCAATAGCAGTCTGCTCTGTCTCTAAGCAACTCAGCAGCAAGATTTGGTCTGCTGGGAGGGGTATGCTGTATTCCATGAGTGAAAAGGATAACAGCTTGGTTCAGTTCTCCAGCACGCCGAGCAAGGTCTCCTTGATGGCCACACTCACATGGATCCATGAGTCACACTCTTTTTATTGGCAAAGACAAAAAAAGCTCAAAACTTTGATAATAACATCCAGAGACAAAACAGATTTTCACTTTTCTTCTTTTGTTTTAATAGCTTCTTCCTCTTCTTGCCCAGGACATATTATTGTTGTTTGTTTGGACATGAGTCAACCACAAATGGCAAGAAGCTTTTGTTTCTTCAAGAATTTTTCTCACATAAATAATTGAAGCCAGACTCATTCTGGGCTCTAGGACCAGTTCAAAGACCACTTGACAAACTCTGACAATTCCATCATTATCAAATCATTTATCAAAGTTCTGGGTTGGGGGATTTATTTCAATTTTGTAACTTTTCAGTGAAGGTTTCTGTTTAAACTTTTTGCCCTTCAATTTTGGCTTTGACCAATGTCAAACTCCAAGAAACATGGACAGTGAAAACACTTTTATTCAAGAGAAATAAGAACTTTGTTTAACTTTTAATCCTCGATTAGCATCAATCCACTTTCGAACAACTGGGTCCTGATTTCTATCAGGGGAGGGGATACTCCCTTATATGGGCTAGGAGTGTGCAACCCTGAAGGGTATGGCTTTTGAGTGATTTTGGTCTAAAAAGGGTAAGTTTTTCACTCTGGCTTGACATTAGGTATTTTGTTTACAAGAAACTATTTTTTCTCTACATCAGCGTTGGCAAAATGGACCTTTTCAGCAGTATGGCAGCCATTTTGAATTCTATTGTTTCAAATAGCTATTATTGGATGCTCAGGGGGTAAATTAGTATGTATTTGCCTCCTAAGCATAATTCCCATATATAATGGCTATTTGAAACAATAGAATTCAAAATGGCTGCC